TTCAAGAGTCGTATTCGCACTGCGGAATTTCACAAACCAGCCCCGTAATGTCCGATCACATGTGGAACCTTTACCACATAATCTATTGGCAACACTTTGCGAAGCATTATGACCAATCTTCAGTTCATGCAAATTAGTAAACGCATCTCTTCTTTTTCATGTGCAAAACGAGAGGTATATAATGTTTTAAGTTAAATTCTAGAAGTGATTGATATAAAATTAACAAAGACGACACTTTAATCATTAGGAATGAGTCATATATTTTTGTGCAACTATTATAATTATATATGAGAACACAATTAAAAGGTTTATTCTAAAATCGGACATTATTATCCAAACAACCTAATACTATTTTCCACTGCATACGCAAGGGGCGTCACGTATTTGAGAACAAAATTCTGAAAGAGATTGATATAAAATTAAGAAAGATGACACTTTAATCGGACATTATTTTCCAAACAACATAATATATACGTTTTATGTATGTGTATATAAATAGCAACACACACACACACATTCGTGTACATAAATTTGTATTGTAGTTTTGAGTGAATGTAAGTGAATGAATGATAACTAAAGGAGTGTTTAAATGCGGTGTAAAACTTTCTTAAAACATATACTCGCCCACGAAATGTTCGCATTCTAGATTTGTTATGCTTCAAGTATTGAGATGACAGGGTTCAGAAAAAGACGAAGAGATTGAATCGGGCGACTGAATAGGTGAAAATGAATTTGTCAGCTTCGCATTTCTATAGTGAAATAACTTTTTAAAAAAAAGTAAGGATATTATCATAAATAATATATACCGTATGACACACAAAAAATTACACACATTTTAAAATTGAACAACTTGCGTGAAAATAGAGATATTTTGAACCATTTTGCTTTATTCAACAGAGAAAACTATTTTTGATAGCCACCTGAAAAAGATAAAGATTTAACCCTTCTCGTTTTTCTAAACTTAACTTTTGAATAAAGGCTACCAAAAAGCAACTTTCCATTTGTACGCTGATGAAGATTTATGAAAGCTTAAAAATGTCGGAACGTCCTGCAACTTTATGTAACGGAACACTGTATCAGATCTGTAATATGACCAGATATATTTAAAATAAGGAAAATATTTTTTAGCTATTCTCTATAAAAATACGAAACAAATAAATGGCGCTGATCTTTTAACGTATCTGATTTTACCATTGAATTTTCTACGTCAAATCTGGATTGGTTTTCCACGGTTGAAACTGACAAAGATTTAAGTTGTTAAATCTGAAAGAAAAAGAAAAAGAAATCCTTAGACGCTTAAACTTAATTCACATTTAAAATCGGTTCACGTTATTGGAACACCTTGAAGATGAAATATGTGTAGACCAAATGATTTTTTTTCTAAATTATGCTATTTGTTGACAGTTGAATAGATATTTTGGAAGGTTCGATGCAGAGACGCTTGAGTTCTTGTTCAAATCGATCAAGTGAAAATTTTGTTTGAATTTTCAAAAGTCATAAAGCCACGAAACTTTCCTGTTATATATATATATATATTTATTTATCTGTTAAAGTGAAATGGACTTATCTGAAAACCTGGAAAAAAGAAACACAATTAGTTTAATTTTTGTTTTCTAGATATAAAACTTTTTGGGATGGACGATTATCCCATGCTGTTACACGATTTGGACAATTTTGCTGTTGTATATATATATATATATATATATATATATATATATATATATATATATATAGTGTTCGATTATTTTTACATGAATTTTGTACTGTATACTACCACGGACTTCCTCAAATGTAGAAAAAGAAAACGCACTTGAATATTTTAAATGTGCTCTTTCTGGTTAAGTCTTGGCTTTATTTAAAAGAAAATAGGCTAAAGATAATCAGTAACATTTATTTTACCGCGGTAGCCTGTGATCCGTTATCAAGGCCATAGGTCAATGACAGTAGTTTTCTACTGGCAGACTCTTAAAACCATGATTTTTTTAAAAGATAAATTAATACGGAGCACTACGATATATTTATGTTTTAAAATATATATATAATCAACAGTTTAAGAATATAATCTAGCATTCGTCCATACATTGGATCCTCTTGCCATATATTGTCTTCTGCCCCCGCTGTTCATCTTGAGGATCACGACAAAATCCAAAGACGGATATGCAATGTGTTCAGTTCTGACTTGGCAGCTCAGCTGCAATCAATTTCTGACAGACGTGATGCGGCTTCCCTTTGCCTTTTCTACAAATATTTTCATGAGAACTGCTCTAACGAGATTGTCTAACTGGTGATCTGAATGAATTTAAGCGTGCTACTAGGTTGGCATCTCGGTTCCACCATTTTACTGCGGAAACAGTTAAATGTTACCGCCTTTTCTACTCCAAAAGCTTCTTCTCTCGCGCTTCCCGGCAGTGGAATTCCCTTTCTCTTACTTGTTTCCCTCATCATTATAATGTTCAAAAATTTAAATGTAATGTCAATCTTGCTTATATATATATATATATATATATATATATATATATATATATATATATATAATAAAAAAGGCTTAAACACTAATATTATAATATTAGTGTTTAAGCCTTTTATTATATCCTTACTCTGTCCTAGACATTGAGTTCTACCTGGATTCTTCCTCTTGGAAAATTTTTTCTGAAAATATACATGTATGGGTATTTTTTTTTTTTTAATATATATATTTGCATATGTATGTATATTTTCCACTAATATATCTATCTATCTATCTATCTATCTATCTATCTATATATATATATATATATATATATATATATATATATGTGTGTGTGTGTGTGTTTCATTAAACTGACAGACAAGGTACTATGATTAATCTTTTTATTTAATTTGAAAAATAAATAAAAGCTTAATCGTAGTATCTTGTATGTCATTTTAATTTTACATGCATAAATAAAGGTTGATGCCTAAATAAATAAATATATATATATATATATATATATATATATATATATATATATATATATAGTTAAACCTAGAGAGAAAAAAAAAAAACTACTAAGTCCAGCCTTCCTGACGATCTTGGTAGGTTTGTCTGGCTCTCTAGGTTTAACTAGGTCTGCTCAACTCATTGTATTGAGCACTTTATTTAGCTATTTTAGGTACTCGCATCGGGGTTTCTTTTTCTTTGTGCCTTGAACCCGTATGCTAGACGATTATTTTCGGTTATCGTACATGTTCTTGGTTCTTTCTTTTTTTAATACCTTTTTTTCACTTTGGTATTGGCTTGTTTATTTGCAAATCAAGACACCAAAGGTATTCCGAGCGAGTATAGTTTCTTATACTTATAAAATTTCTATTAATAATATATATATATATATATATATATATATATATATATAGAGAGAGAGAGAGAGAGAGAGAAATAAAGAATTATGACCACGCTTAGATTGATAGATAGAAAGAAAGTTAGATAATGTATAGAGTGAATAAAGAATATATATATATATATATATATATATAGAGAGAGAGAGAGAGAGAGTGAGAGAGAGAGAAACAGAGAGGAAAGAAAGAAAGAAAGAGATTGAGGTAGAGAAGAAAAAGAGAAAGAGAAAGAATTTGTTCAAACCATAGTGTAAATATTTCTCTTCTTAATGCATGAATGACCAGATAGATAGATAAATAGTTAGGTAGATAATGAACATAGATAGATAGATAGATAGATAGATAGATAGATAGATGAGGGTAGAGAAGAGAAAGATTAAGAGAAAGAGAAACAATTTCTTCTTAATTGCAAACCGTAGTGTAAATATTTCTTCCTAATGCATGAATGACCACGTCATTCACCCGATTTCAGAGAATTGCATTTCGCCAATTTGTTCTTATATGTACAACAAATAAACAACCTATTACATTCTTGAATGTCTGCAGACATAAAACAACAACAAAAACAACAAAAGACACAACCTTTAATTTCCTACTTCAGGTCGTTTGTTTTCACTGGCAATTTTCAAAGAGAAGAACGAAAGCGAATCATTAGATGGATTTGCGAAAATAGATCGACAGGAGGCATTAACGTTATCCTCGGGGACTGATTTCTTTGCTCTCTTTCAAGTTTTCGCATCTTCCGTCGCCAACTTCCAAGAATACCAACACCTGATTGAAGAAGCTTATCCTAGAGACACACAGGCATATACATAAGGCAATGGCAATATCAGCTGTTTCCCTACAAGCAAACGTTTGTCATTCATTGACCGAGCATCCAATACCGCTTTTGATTGAAACTTATAAAATCTTTCATTAAAAAATCTTTTTAAGAAAACAGGTTTCTCAAATTGCATAATAAAAGCAAAATTCATTGAGGCTGTAAATATAGCTCTCAATGTAAGATATAAAATAAATACAGAATAAATATAAAGTTAAAGATAAATAAAATTTAAATATAAGAATAAATATAAAATTTAAGATATAAAATAAACACAGAGGAAATATAAAATTTAAGATATAAAATAAATACAGAATAAATACAAAATTTAAGATATAAAAATAAACACAGAATAAATATAGAATATTTAAGATATAAAATAAATACAGAATAAATATAAAATTTAAGATATAAAATAAATACAGAATAAATATAAAATTTAAGATATAAAAATAACTATAGAATAAATATAAAATATAAGAACAACAGTACTTAAATGTCACTGTTATTCGCGACTATAAGTTTCATGTGAAAGTATAGGTGGTAAAACTGTAAGATAATCTTCAGGTTAACGGAGCTTTCATGTTGAAACACCGGTTCCCGTAAGATGAGCAACGAATCGTCCGGTTCACGTTCCTCCCGGTCTTTTGAGCTGGAGTAGAGATTTATCACTTGTTTCCTGTTTAGGATTGGGTTTCCGGTTCCTTCTGAAGTATTTTCCTTCTCTTTCACTTCCAGTAGCACCCTTGCGTCTTAGCGGCATTATTGCATTGCCTGGGGTGAATTGATTAAAAAAGAAAAAAGACTTTATCATCTATACGTCCAC